AGAAGTTTGTTTCCACGATCATCTGAAATCCCATCAAGCTGATGATCAAGATATCCTATTCCCTTTTCTCTCCCCTTTCTTCATTTCCTGTTTTAACCTAGGTCCCAGATGCAAGCTTTGTAGTCAAATGACTTGAGCTGTAATGCTTTCTCGAGTGCTGAGCCAGCCTGCATTCCCACCAGCCCTAAGAGAGACGGCTGGCTGTGTGGCTTTGGGCAAACGACTTAACATCTTGGTATCTTGATTCCCACTTCTGAAAAATGACAGAAGAACAAATCTTGGAGACACCCCTAAACTTCAAGACATACTGTATCACATGTAACATCAAGTCTCTGCAGCCATGGTGAAGGACAAGACAACACATCAATGAAACACAACCGAGAACCGGTAGATAAACCCACAGAACGCTGTCAACCATCCATTCACAGAGGGGCAAAGGTGCCGTGATGGAGAAAGTATGAAAAGTCATGTTGGGCGGGCACGTGCCAACAGTGACTCTGCACAGGACTCAAGCTTGACATAAAGGCTAATTCATAAAAGATTACAGATGGGAGCATAGAGGGGGAAATTACAGAACTCCAGAGAAAATTTAAACAGCACTGATCATGACAGAAAATATTTGCAGAATCCATATCCAATAAAAGACTGTTGCCCAAGGACTGAGGCTGAAGCTCAGAGGTAAGTACTTACTTGCCTAGCTTGCACAAGGCCCAGCTTGGGTGGGGGGAGGGTTATACATAAACAATATCTATAAATATAAATACTGATGAAGAGAAAACTTTATTAACAAAATAGACCAAACACCCAAATAAGCACTGTACTTAAGAAGAAATGAGAGCCAGGCTGTGGTTGGCTCACATGTTTAATCCCAGCACTCGGGAGGCAGAGGCAGGTGGATCTCTAGGACAGCCACAGCTACACAGGGGAAACCTGTCTTGAAAAACCAAAAACAAGAGATAAAAATGGCAAATGACCTGTAGGAAGATACTCATTAGGGAAATGCAGTTTAAAAGACAATGGGGGTAGCATTACATGCCTATTAGATTGACCAAAATCTGGACTGAGGAGATGGCTCAGTGGCCAAAAGCACTGGCTGCACAAGCGTGAGGACCTGAGTCCAAAGCTCTTGCACTCTCTGGGGTGGAGGCAGTAGAAAGGACAATGGCACCAGCCTAGCTCCAGGTTAGGGAGCGACTCTGTCTTCAAGGGAATGGGGTGAAGCATGGTCCTCCTCTGGCCTCTGCATGCACAACTGTGCACACTCACCCGCATGTGCACATATGCCACACAAACTTAGTTTGCTTTCTATGTCTGTGATAAAGACCATGACTAGAGGAAACCCAGGGAAGAAATGGTTTGTTTGACTTGTACTTCCATATCAAGGGAAGTCAGGGCAGGAACTCAAGGCAGAACCCTGGAGGTGGGAACTGAGGCAGAGGCTCTAGAGGGATGCTGCTGACTTGTTCCTTATGGCTTGCTCAGCTTGCTTTTCTATATGACTCAGAACCACCTTCCCAGCGGTGGTACCACTCACAACAGACTAGGCCCTCCAACATTACTCATTTCAAACAGTATCCAAGGTCACATGCATAGACGGCTGGGGCGAGGTGGTGGTGTATGCTTCAGGTCTGTGTCTCAGGTATTACACTCGGGGTGGCTGAAACAAAGCCTGCCACCTTTCTACATGCATTGTGCCATTTCCTATTCCAGTATTCTTCAAAATGTGGATCACATCCTCCAAACGGATTTTTCACTCATTAGCAGGCCATAATCTGTAGTTGGAACCCACAGGATGAGCTTAGACCCTGGGCACCTGACCCCAGCACCTGTTCTCCACCCCAGCCCACTCTCAGCCCTCCCTTTCCTAGTTTCTCCCCTCCAAACTGGACCAGCTGCGGGCACGACCCAATCTTCTTCCCACATGTGAGCCGACAGCTTCAGGGAAGCTCAGGGCTGGGGAGCTAAAGGAGCTGGGGAGGGCGGGTTGCCCACACTCATGTGGTGGAGATCATTAGGATGCAGCAGGCAGAGGAGCCTCAGCTAGGCTGAGCTTTCATTTCCAAAGGCTGAGCTAGGGGCCGGGAGATTGCACAGATAGGGGGATGCTATGTCGCTCAAGGCTAACACTATTTCTGCTTGGCTAGTAGCCAAGCTCCTTAACCCTTGCTGATGCTGGTGCCTGGGAGACAACCCACAAGGAGGTGAGCCCTGTGATGTGGAAAGTGGCAATGGGAAGGTGTGCTTAATAATTCAAATAATTTGTTCTAATATACCTCTTTCTCTGCATCGTATCTGATCCAGCCCAGGTCCTTGGAAGATTACTATCCCAGAACATCACATTTTATGGATGAAAACATGGAGACTCAGACACCAAAATGGTTTGCGCAGTCTCAGTGCAGCTGGGAGGGAGAGTGCGGAGAGTGGCTTTACTTTATGAAAGAGATACTCAAGGGTCTTGGGTGAGAGGCATCAGGGACCTCAGCATCCAGGAGCCTTGAATTCATGGTGTGTCTTGATGGCCTTGGGTAGACATGCTGGGCTTCTGGTTGAACAGCCTCCTCCAGTTTCAGTTCACTCTGGGATGAAAGTCTTGATGGATGTCACTCTGCTTAGGACTCCACACCACAGGCCCTGCATCTTGGTACTAGGCATTTTGTGGTAAGAAAGTGGCTTCATATTTTTATGTAGTTATCACATGGGTCTGATGTTGGTGCGTTGATTCTGTTGGTTTCTAGGTAGACAACAGAATCACCTGCATCAACCCAGTTCGCTCCTTTCCTCTCACGTCCTCCCCCACACTTTCTTTGTGTAGAGGGCTCAGGTGTCCAGGGCATTTTGTCAGTGGTGGTGCTGGTGGCAGCCTTGTCTTCTGTCTGACCTCACTGGCAATACATTTAAAGAGCCACTATGAAGAAAGTGTTTGCTGGAGGTTTTCTTCATCAGCCTTTTGAAGTTAAGATGTTGATCTTCTATTTTTGGTTTGCTATGGTTGTATTTGCTATATTTCTTCACCAGTGTGGTTAGTCAGCATTTGGTTTCTTTAGTCTATTATATGGGGAGTGATGTTGACTAGTGTTTGATGCTTTGTATATTTAGGAAAAACCTTACTTGGACATAATGCACATTTTGAAATTTCCCAGCCTTTTCTAAAATGGCCCCAAATGTAATTCTGCCACTTTATGTAATGTGGTGTTCTTAGCACTGATGATTATAAAATCAGAATGACTATCAACTCTGCAAAGTGGCAAGATGCTCTAACTTTTATAGCATTAAATATTCAGCAAGATTTAATTCCTTACATAAAGTACATAAGTGCATTCATTGCATAAGGATGCAAATTTGCTTTCGTCCTTAGTAAATAGAAAATCATAGGTATATCAAAGAATTGCTTTAAAATAAATTTATTATTTATTATTAGTAAATATCTGATTTGCATACCTGTTTTACATACCTATATGCCCAGGATTATGCAGAAATTTCTTGTACTAAGTGAGAAAAGTTTAAGAAGCCCTGCTCTAATCAACAGAGTTTACAGCTCAGACACCTAGCAGCCTGCTTTGTGGGAGCCATTGTGGAAGAAAGCCTACCTCTCTCTCCTGTCATTTCCTCCTTCTTGTCCTCCTCCTCCAGGAGCGATCTGATGGTGTTGCCCTGGACATTCACTGCCTGCTCTCTGCTAGTGGGAGGTGTTCCTGTTCACAGGCAGTCCTCCAGGGTGACGAGCACCCTGCAGAGGACCAGGACCTGCCCTGCCTCTGTTCCTGGTGCACACAGCACTGACTGCTTAGCATATTCACTTGAGCACAGCAGAGCATACAGCCTGAAGGTCAGAGAGGCACAGGTCAGAGGCTTCATTGCAGACTATCCTAAGCAGAGGCCTTGGTTCTGACCTTCATCAGGCTGGAGGATGTGAGGATAGAACCGAACTTTTGCCCCTTGTCTTCTTGCTTTTATCTGTCTTTGTGTTTGGAGGGGAAGAATGGGGGATACTTAGAGCTCTAACCCCCCTAACAAACCTCAAGGCCTGAAAATATCAACATATGCAACTTAAGAACAGGGCAGGCCACTTCAAATACACTTCTAGGGGAAGAAACACATGACTCAAAAAATGTCTTTGACAGCTACAAAACAAAATGAAAAAAAAAAAAAAAAACAAAATACTAAGCTGTGGCAAATTCAGATTGAAAAAGCAAGAAGCACAAATGATTACTGCCTGTTTGGGACCTAGACTACTCTAGGCACAAAGGCCAAGGCAGACCCTCCACAATCCTTGCTATGGAAACACAGCTCTTACCAACCACACAGCGGTGAGAGATCCAGCTCTCTCAGAGGTAAGGACAAAGTATCACCCCAGAAGACAGTTGCCTGGGCCCCCTGGATGTTGGTAAGGATACCCCAGGCCCGTGCACTCAGAAAAAGGAGAATCCAGTCCAGCCATGTGTTCTATTGCTGAGCTAAATGGTGATGAGAGCCTGCAAGGTGTCTGCTGGACTCTGGCCTTCGGCCCACTCCTCCTCTTCATCTTTGTCTCTCACTTCCTTCGTCGTCCCTTTCTGCCCCTCCTTCCTTCTCATTCCTGCCTGCTTCCTCATTTCTTTTCACCACTCCCTCAGTCTCTTCCGTTTCCGTGTCCCTCTCCTTTCTCATCTTCTTTCTACCAGAGGGTGAGATACACACCATCCAGACCCTTCTGAGGCTCCCCAGGGTTGCTGAATGGTTGAGCAGGCAGGCCCTGGACCACGAGACCTTTGTTCACCAGAATGGCAGATTCAGGCTTACTCGTGGACACAGAGGAAGCTCTGAGTTGGAGGTGGCACGTTTCCAAGAACATGGCCTGAAACTAGTTGGGGAGGCCTCGGGCTTTCTTGGAGTCAAAGCTGGGCCTTTCCCACCCACCACCGCCTCACCCAGATGCTGGAGGCATGCACATTTATTGAAGGGCGGTGGGAGACCAGGAAGTAGGACTGGGTGTGGGGAGGGCACCGCTGGCTCTTCCGGTATCACTTCTTAGACTTTTTCCAGCTACTTATCTTCTTACTGCTCCTCCTATTCTTGATGAAAGGCTGCAGCAGTTCTTCTTCAGGCTGTTTCAACCTAAATACGCAATAGGAAGAAGCAGGCATTGGGCAAGGAGCAAGCAGGGCATGGCCCACATGATGCGGGCATGGCCCTGGAGGGAAGAGTGCCAGGGGACATCTCCAACTTGGGGGACCAGTGGCACCATTAATTTTAGCACTTTTCCATCTTTCTGGAAAGAGTCACACTACAGAATTTTGATTTGGTTCCCTGTCACCATCACCAAGGAACTTGCTGGAGTCGGGGATGGCCTCCATCCTTCTGACAGATGGGCCCAGACTGTGGGGCCTTGCTGCAAAGTGTTATATCCTAGTGCCCAACCCTGACACCCAATGGGATACTGCAAAACAGGCTGGAAATCAGGGGCTGACCTGTACCTTGGAAGGACACAGATTTGGAAGGCACAGAAGCCATGCCATGGTAGCCTTAGTGGCCCGTGATGAAGCTAGAGATCATATAATGAGCCATTCCTAATCTGCCAACCAGAGACATGGGGAAAACATACTTGTCAGGGGGGGTAGAAGGGGTTTTTTCCATTTTGTCCCCAAGCGCCAATGAAGAGACACTTCCTTCGAAATCTTCAGATGGGGGTCTTTTAGATAACTCAGAATCTTCCAGGCTTGTGATATAGGTTGGCACGCTGCAGGGAGGGGTGGTAGGAAGACACAGTATAGGGAAACAGAGGTGAGAGTCTAGGGTTCACTCAGTGCTATACCACCCCTATCCCAGCCCTAGACAGGCCAGCAAAATACTCCTGCTCCCATTTGTGCCAAGGGAGAAACTGTCTGCTCTGGGAACCCGGGAAACCTTGGCTTCTATATAGGACTGCAAAGCCCTCGTTCCCATGCCACCAGCTACCTGGTCCATGCTACCCATAGGCAATGCCCGCAGGATACAGAGGCGTTGCAAAGCAGAAAAGGAGAGGTCAAGGAAATGATGCCATCATGCAATGCTGTGGACCAAATGTGTCCCCCAAATTCATATGCAGAAGTTCTAACCCCAGAACCCTGGCATCAGTATAGATATAATTAGTTGTGATGCAGTCATTCTGGAGTGACTAGTGCCACATCAAAGTAATGCTGTCACCAAAGCCAAATAGAGGCTAGAATGTGACTCGAGAGGGACTATGGTCCTCTGGTACCTGGATCCAATTTCCAGTCCTCAGAACTGAGACGATGTGCAGATGCTGCGTATTCCACTCAGTGTGGCTATTCTGGCTGCTCTAAAAGTGCTGTGCCTATGTGGCAAACAGATCACAGACATGAACTACACTCAGTTCTCAAAACAGACAGGTAGTCCACCATCAAGGTGCCAGGAGATTCAGTGCCCGGTGGCACTCATGGATGGCAGCCTCTCACTGCTCTCACACGGCAGAAGGGGTAAGCTGGCTTCTAGGTATTAACTCCACTCATAGTCTCTGTACGCGTGATCTAGTCACTTCCTAGTGTCCACGTTCCTAACACCATCGCCATGGAGCTAAGGATTTCAGTACATGAATCTGTGGAACATGGCACCTTGCTGCAACCACTTCTCCTCACTAGTCCCTGGCCACCTCCTGTTGTGGCTCAGGTGACCCTGCCTCTTCTAAGGTGGATGGGCAGAAAATAGGGCACAGTATAGTAACCCGGGGTGAAGAACTCTCTCACAACTGGTAGCACTCAGAGCACACCAAGACTTCACTGGACGTTCATAAAGATCACGACTATTCACAAACCCTTTGACGTTCTCACACAGGCATTTGCATACCAGATTATCTTTACGAGGCTTCACTCCAGTCTGTATGTCACAGGGTACTTGACAGTTTATAAGATGCTTTGTCCTTCATAGACTGCCATGTAGCTTACCAAGTGCTGTGCTGTTTAGGTTGAGCTGGTCTGAGAGGAGGCCTAGAAACCCTCCCTAGTTCACAGGGCACTCAGCAGCTCCCACTGTGACTTATCAGGGATGTGGCAATTTACAAAGGACTTTGTCTCTCACAGATTTCACGACCATTTGCAAGATTCTCTGTGGTTCACTGAGCACATTACAGTTTACACAGCATTCAGTTTATGGGGCCAAGACTGTTTTCCAAGCACTTTGGTCTCTGCAGAGTGCGGCCGTTTCTGACAGACTTTGACTGTCTCCTGTAAGAACAGCCCTAAAAAGGTTATGTTCCATTCCTTCAGGACACGACTGAAAACAAAGGTCATAGTTGTACTGCGGCCTGGACTTATCCCCTATTCAAAGCCCTTCCTTGTCCTTGCTGGCCCTCAGTTTCTCCTTCTGTAAAGTTTATGTGATATGCAAAGAGCTCCTGGCTCAGGGTCAGGGTCCTGGGTTGCTTTTCTGGACACAGCTACCCACCCAGACTCTAGCAACACTGAGCAGAGAACTTGGAGCCTAGAGTTCCACACTCTTCTCCCTGGTGACCATGTCCCACAGGCAGCAAATGGCCACAAGATGTCACAGGCACACTTGCAAGTGTTACACAATTGCATATTTTGCTGCCACAAAAGAAAAGAAGAAGAAACCTGACCAAAATCTCCCCCACTGAGCTCCTGTAGCAGCTAGGGACAGACTAATACTCTTTCTAATGTCTCTGTCTCTGCAGACAGTCTTCACAACCTGATTGTGAACTTTTAGCAACTTTTTGGAGGACTAAGGGCTCTTCTCCCTCCCCAAGCAGGTTTAACACCTCTTCCATGATTGGTCCTATTTTCCACTTTATTTGCATACCCACATTCAGCCAATCAAGGTCCATCTGGTACCCAGTACATTCGGATGCTCTGGGAGATGAAGAGACAGAAGAAGTGTTGCTGGAACCGAGGGAGGAAGAAGAAAAGGAAGACTTCAGGTTGGGCTCCAGCCAGTTGCTCATCTTCACTGAAGGAAGGCTGCCCTCACTGAGGGCAGCCTTTAAGACAGGCAGGGGATAGAATTGTTCCTATGCAGGAAATTCGTGTGAGCCAGCCTCCAAGGACATGAGCAGTAGCTGCAGGCAGGAGCACTCATCTCTGCCTCAGCCTCCAAGATGCTATACTTTCACTGCAGATGAGAATTCGTTCCTGAGCTGCTTCCAGCCTTCACGGCCTGCTGCTCTTTGCATTCCTGTTGTTTGACCAGCAGATTTGTTCTGCAAGGGTCTGCTCTACATTAATGCCCTGAAGCCCTCCGAGAATTTTTAAGCTGTTAAACTTTTCAGAGCTGAAAGAGCTCTAAGAGGCTACCATCCTTCTGCTAGCAAGAATTCAAACCTGATCCATTTAAGTTGTCAAAACCTGTGAACCAATCTGTTTAAAGCTGTTTTTTCCCCCCATTTAAAGTTGTTAATCTCAAATTGGCACTAAAGCAATAAACCAACCTTCTATTGGTTGTCTTCACTGACTGGTCCACTTCATTCTGATGAAAGGAAGGATAAGAACCCAGGTGGAGGGAGACGGGAAATGTTTCCACTAGCCATTTCACTGCTATATGGGGAGGGAGGACTCATATACACACACACACTTCTGGGACTGCTGCAGGCTAAGTCCCTTTGTGCTTCCAGGGGACAAACTGTTTTCTCTGTTTGGTCTGCTCTCCCATCCCCTTAGCCTCCCTGGAAATCTCACACTGCCCTAACCTGGTCCCTCTTGTACCTAATCCTCTCTGGAGTGAGCATGGCAGGGTAACAACCTCTCTGCTCACAGACACAGGAAGTGGAGCCTGCACACCACATGTGACCTCCCTTAGCTGTCCCCAACCCTAGAGAAGGAGGCAGGGGCTAAGTGTGAGTGTTGTATGCAGGTGGACACAGTTTCATTCAGGGATGCTCATGTGAGGACCACATTCTACATGTCTTCCCACTGAGGCTGTCTGGCTACAGACCTGCTGCGCCCTCCCACCGAGGACCCAGAGGCTTGGGTGAGGGAGCTGAACTCTGGGCCCACAGATAAATTTTCATATACCGTATTCTTTGTTGCATAACTTTCCATAAACTATAAGGTGGCCACAAGCACAGTGGGGGAAATAATTAGACTCCTCCCTATTTGTTCAAACTGTAAACAAATCCGTCTTCTTTTGCTGTTTTCTAGTTTCTTTTTGTTACAGGGATCTAAGGTGCTGAGTTTATGGACATAAATGTCCAGTAAGACCCAACATATCTCTGGCACATTAACTGTCAACAGCCCCTGAAACTCAGCTTTAACTCCCTGGACCTGCCAACATCAGTCTCCAGCGCTCTACTCTCTTCTCTTGATGTTCTGAGTGATAGGGACTCAGAACACTCAGGATCTTCTGTCTGTCCTGCCTTATCCCCACAGGCTCATCCTCTTCCAGCCAAAATATTGGGGTCACTTGGTGTGACCTTCATGGATTTTCCATGAATGTATCCCCAACCTCAGGGAGAAGCAGGCTGAAAAAAAAAACCCAACTCAGCTTCCTGGGGTGAAATGACATCAAGACAGAAAGCTACAGCCAGGCATGGGGGTACATACCTTTAATCCCAGTACTTGGGAGACAGAGACAGGTAGATAGATTTCTGAGCTTGAGGCTAGCCTAGTCTAAAGAACAAATTCCAGGACAGCCAGGGCTACACAGAGAAACCCTGTCTTGAAAAACCAACCAACCAACCAAACAAACAAACAGATGGAAAATTGGCATGGGGGACGTAACTTGGTGTACAGATATGACAGATGACATTATCCTGGGTTTCATCATTGTTTACCACTTACAGAGCTTGTTAACAAATACTCTTTTGTGAAATCCTTACAGTCCTGCAAGACCGAGTATTATCTTCATTGTAAAGGCAAAGAGTTAAAGATTTGAGAGTCCACCTGATCAGCCCACCTGACAGTTACCCAGATAATGCAAAGCAAAGGTGGGGCTCTAACCTTGTCTTAGGACACCCAACCTAGCAAGTTTCTCAGGAACCTGCACTGTGGAGCACAATGGAATCCGGAACCTGCCAGTCTTCCTCGAATGCAGCATTTAGCATAAAGCCCAGGCTCCTCCTGGACTAGACTAGAGTGTCCTGAGCTCAGACTACCCTCTGCCACACACCAGAACCAGCCTGGAGATGCTTAGTAGGTGGCAGCACCTTAGTTGGATGCTGATACCTAAGCCTATTCCACCAATGAGTGCCTGTGTCTATGGGGCCCATCTGGCAATCCAATAGAAGCCAAGGTGAATGTGCACACAGGTTGGACCTGATGGGTGTTGACTGAACCTCCTGCCCACCCCAGACATATTAACACTATCTCCATCTGAGCAGGACATTGTGCAAACAAGTAGTGCCTTCTTTTCTCCACACACCCCTTTCTCCAAACTTGCGACTCAAAAAGACAAACAGTATGACCTTGTTCGCCTCTTCCTGCCTTTTCTTCCTCTTCCCCTGTGCACCTACAAAACCCTTTACTCAGGGGACTGTAGGAAGAGACTGAACTCTACTTTCCTGGCTCTGGATCTCCCCCACTTCACTCCTTTGGGACTACCTGCTTTCCCACCCATGGCCTCCCATAGCCCAAGTCCCCTGCCCCATTATCCCATCCTGTGTGATGCCTTATCCAGTTTTACTTGAATTTGTAGTTGTCTGGCAGGAAGTAGCCCATCTTGCAATCCTGTCGAGCCCGGAAGATCTGTTTCAGTAGATTCTGCTTACTGAAGCCATAGCCATTTAGGAGACAGCCGCCAAAAAGGAGCTTCCCCCCAGCAAACATCTGTTGGAAGATAGGAAAGAAATGAAGTAAGAAACACTTCAGTGTATTGACATAGTGGCATGACCGATAATGACAGCCAAGTTCCAAGTCTTAGTAGGCCTGGCCACGGGTCTCACAGAGCTGGGATAGGACTCAGGCCTTTGAGAGCATGGGAAAGTGTGCTACCCTCCCTCAGCAACCCAGGGAGACATGATTGAGCCTAGCCCCTGCAAGGCCCTCCTGAGTCAGAGGGCAGCCCAACCTGCCCAATTTTTGACCCCTACTGGGGGCCTGTCAGATGTACACTTCATACTTTCTATTTTTATTTTATTTTATTTTATTTTGGTTTTTCGAGACAGGGTTTCTCTGTGGCTTTGGAGCCTGTCCTGGAACTAGCTCTATAGACCACCAGGCTGGTCTCGAACTCACAGAGATCTGCCTGCCTCTGCCTCCCGAGTGCTGGGATTAAAGGTGTGCGCCACCATCGCCCAGCCACTTCATACTTTCAAGACTCCTACCCACCTACCTAGAGCTGTGTAGCCCCTTCTGTTCCAAACCCGCATAATAGGATGTACCATTCAGTTCATTTTATGGAATGGAGGTCTCATACCTCTACTCCATTCTTCACCATGGACATCTGTCTAGAGATGGTTAGGCAGGGATATTCATCATACCATTATTGTGGGAAAAAGAAAAACAGGAAGAAGAAAGAGAGGGAAAGAACCCAACTGTCCAACAAAAGCAGCATGGGTAGTAATAAGACTCATCCAGTGGTAAAAATGCTGGTACTACAAACTGAAGATATAGGATGGTGCTCTGTTATCTTATTGGAAAGATGGTGCCCTAAAATATGCGTGTGGAGAAAGACAGCAAAGGCCAGATACTACAGTGTCAGGTGGATGTGGCCTAGCAGGGGCTCCAGAACCTAGGTGCTGGATAGATGAGCAATATCCTGGGTGGTAGGAAGGTGTCATTATTTTCTAGCGGGCTGGAGAGATGGCTCAGTCGTAAAAGGCTAAGCTCACAACCAAAAATATTTTCTAAATTGTATACCCTATTTTTCAATAAACATAAAAGTTTTATATTTTAGTATAATTTAGTAAGAATCAGATGGATAGAATTTGATATTCTGTGTTAATGTCACCCAACCCCTCCATCTCCTAGGATAGGGATGGGAGTCTATTGGGTGACTGTCAGGAAGTCCTGTTCTCTGGGCCTCAGTGTGGGTGTGAGAAGATTGCTTTATCCCCCATCCCCCCACACGGCTAAGACAGTAGTGGTTGGTGACGGATGTCTAGCCCTTTGCAGGGCCCCTGCTCACCAAAACCATCCCGTGCACCACAGCAAACTTCTTCACCATTAGGGGTGGATCCTTCTGCAGGGGGCTGTCTATGTCATACCGCAGCAGACGATAAGGATCAAGCCGGCACTGCCAAATAGAGATGTGGGAACTGGTCACCCTGATGCAAGAAGACATACATTAACTTCCCTGAAGCCATCAACTGTCCTCAGAGGAGGTCTCCAGATCTGCTCTGAGCCCCCTGTGGAAGACATCATCACTAGAGTGACCCTCCTGCATGTGACAGCACTAGGTTTGCCCTGGGATCTGTGGACTATGATGTCCCTCACTCTGGAATGAAAGTCCTGCCCTAAGTGGACCATATTTAGAAAGCTATGTTGCACAGCTCTGAGGAACTTCTCATCCCACCTCTCCCTGGCTGCCCTTCTTGACCCCTTCGTGGTGTTCAGCCAGCCATTGTGGGATGAGAGTATTAATGACCAGTTATTAGCCAGGGCAGAAGCCCAGCCTCTGTAAAGACCAACACTACCCTCCATACCCATCTGCAGACTCACCGCCATTCCTTCCACCCCTTCCAACTACTTCAGGTTAGATCTTGGCCCCATTCACACTGCTTGTGGCTGGAATAAGACACCTAAGCATTTTATTCCTTAGTGAACAATTAATAGCCCTCAGGTGAACTACAGCCAATTGTACATTGCCATGAGGAAACGGTGAGCCCAGAGCAGGTTCTCAGTGAACGTTCTCTAAATTGAAGTAAGCTGGAAAATAATGCATGAAATAAATGTGGCTCTGTTGCAGGGCTGGGTACAAGGCTGTGGCTGGCTGCTTTCTTGAAGAGAGTCAAGAGAAGGGCCCTGGTGGGGAAGGGGACATCTTATTTTAGAAGGGCCCTAAATGCTGAGCTCCTGGAACAGGCTGGCAGGCAGCACTCCTAGAAAGAAAGGCTAAGAAGGGGTATTCAGGCAGACCCCTACCCCAAGTTTCCCACACAAATTCAGAACTCTGCAGCAGCGGGGTGGGAGTGGGGGGTAGGGTGCTGGGAGTAGGGCAGGGATAATGCAACAGGCTTTAGAGGAAAGACAGTTTAGAAGAAGTCACCTAGCTCACATGTCCACATGAGTCTGGGGGATTCTCCAACACCAGTTTAAATAAGGCACACTCAGGATGATGAGGCTGGGCTTAGGAAAAACTCCAGAGGGAGGAGGTTCCCTGTGCCCTAAACCTTGTACTCCAATACCTCTTAGACAAATTGGGACCTCAAACTGTCCTCATTCCTGCACAGGCCCTGCCAGGCATACTCAGTTGCCTGCCAAAGCCCTCAGCATTCTAGGCTGCTCTTTCTGTGCCAAGGAGACAGAAGTCACACTTTCCAGAGCTGTCCTGCATGGCCCTTTCAAAGACCTTCTGTAGCTGCAGTCATTCTGAGAATTCCTTCAGGGACTGGCTCATGCTGAACCAGCAATAGGTGCCCAGAGCCTGGTACAAGTCCAGCACATGGAGGGACTTGGGGACAGTCCACCAACATATACTGAACTGTAAGAACATGGGTAGTGGTCACTATCTTTGCCCTGAACAGTCACACCAGTTGTGGACACAAACTGTGCTAAGTTCTCTGAAAGAAAAGGACTGTGTCTTGACCTTGTCTCAAAAGTTAGAAGAAGCACTGCTCTGATGTGGTGACATTTATCCTGGTAGAGAAGAATGAGCAGAAGAGAGAAGATGGGACAAAATGCTGCAGACAGAAAGGGGAGTGTATGCCAAGGCCCAGGAAAGAACCCATCCTCATACAGTGGGGGTTACATTTGGTCCTTCTCTCTGTCCCTGGCCCAAGGGTCTTCTCACTGGATCCTGAACCAACCTGGGTGCAGGGTGACGAACGGCCCTGCTGCCGATGGCTATACAGTGTGTCCAGCAGCCATTGCAGCTGTGCAGTATTGTTGGGATTCTGGCTTGATATTATCCCGAATACCAGCACTTGGTTGGGGTCTCGGGGTGCAGACAGGAAGCGCTCTAGTTCCAAGTCAGACACCAGGGGTGCCTTCACAATACACTTGCAGCCAGCCCGAATGTCTTCCTTGCGAATGAGCCTCCGCAGCACCAGTGGGCAGTCATAGGGTGAGGCAGCCCATCTGGTGGGGCTGCGTACTTCTCCCTGCTTCCCTCTACAAAGGGGAACACAGTGATAGGAGCATGTGAGCAGGCTTCAACCTATGACCCTACAGTTCTTGTTTCTAGATAGAAAGAGGCCCACTGCAGTGCCAGGGCTGTAGACAGATCCTGGTCCAGGCCCTCAGGGGAGGGACCCCTAACTACGCCAGGCCTCAGTTTCCTCATGTGCAAAAGGAGGCATAAGAAGTTATTCAACTGACATTTCAGTCATCCATGATCCTCACTCCACACCCCACATTTTACCAGTCCCATCTACAAGCCTCTTCCCCACTTTGACAGATCCATATTTGTTGTAGAATATTATTTTAAGATGTGTTACATTTGTTTATGATGTGGAACATTTGTTTAATGATGCAAAGATCTGTTGCATTCTTTTATGTTGCATTTGTTTAACTCTGTGAAGCTGTGATACTTTGCCTGTCTAAAACACCTGATGGTCTGATATAGAGCTGAACGGCCAATAGCGAGGCAGAAAAAAGGGAAGACAGGACTGGCAGGCAGACAGAATGAATAGGAGAAATCTTTGAGGAGTGTAGAAGGAGCAAGAGAACAAGGAGGAAAGAAGGGGACCAGCCACACAGCCAGACATGGAACAAGAAGGAAAGAAAAGATATAGAGAAATAGAAAAAGGTAAAAGTCCAGAGGCAAAAGGTAGATGGTATAATTTAAGAACAGTTGGCAAAATAAGTCAAGCTTAGGCCAGGCATTTATAAGTAATAATAAGCCTCTGTGTGTATTTGGGTGCTGGGTGGCAAGCACCCAAAAGGGCCAAAGAATAAAAAATAATAAAACAACCAATTACACAGAATCTAACTGCCCTCCACTACCCCCAACATAATCCAGCCTCAATCATTTCTTAAGTAGTTCCTAGGGGTTTACACTTCCCTCCTGATCTTTCTTGGACCCACTTAGGGATTCCGTCGGAATCTGAATCATTCTCTGGAACCCTTCCTGGGCTTTCTAGCTTAGTTTTAGTTAAGGCAGCAGCAGGCTGTATCAGATCTAGCTCCTGCTTCTCATTCCCCTCAAGCCCCTCATACTCCCCAGTACTCTCACCCTGCTCCCCAGGTAGTCTGGCAAGGCCAAACTGACTTCCGCCTCTGCTTGTTCCCTCTCCTCACCTTTACATCTATTGAAATGTTGCCTTCCTGTTGACTTTCTAAGCACCCATTGACTGTTTCCACCTCAACACTCTTTCTTGCCTATTTTCTTTCTCTCAAGCATTGCTTACTTTTAAAGCAATTTTTATTATTTTTATTATTATACTTTTCTATCCCATTACAAGTACCAAGAGGTTAGCTACCTGCAGTATTTCGATTGGTGGAATACAATAGGAACACGTGGCAAATCAAAGATGCAATAGAAATTCAGTCAACACTCCAGCATTTATCAGCGACCTGCTATAGCAGCATGGTGCTTAGTCTAAAAAAGCACTAGTAGATGTAAAGTACTCCTTTTTTACGCCTTTCATTATTGCCATCTTACACACTTAAAATTTTACAGGCTCTACGGCCTTTGAATAGGCATTTCCATGGTTAATTTTGTGGAAACCCCACAGGATAGGCAGGACAGAAACTGTTATTACCATTTACAGGTCAAAATATAGTAGGCTCCCTCTCATGGGTTGCCCAAGCTCAATGAAGTCTTTAAATTAGCAAGGCCTCAGGCAAATTGGAATCAAGTCATCCTAAAATAAGAGCAATGCCATGATTCATCACTTGTTAAGTTTGTTTTACATATATTCATTTTATTTCATGTGTATTTTCCTTGTATGTAAGTGTGTGCACAGTCCACAGAAGAGGCCATCAGATCACCTGAAACTGGAGGTTCAGATGGTGTGAACTGCCATATGAGTACTAGGACTGGAGCCTGGGTCTGCTACAAGAGCAACAAGCACTCTTAACTGATGAGCCATCTCTAGCCACTTCTTTATTTTTCAAGACAGGGTTTCTCTGTGTTACAGCCCAGGTTGTCCTGATTTATCTTATTTTTCTGACAGCATCTTGCCAGGTATCCCAGGCTGGCTTTCAACTTATGGTAATCCTTCTGCCTCAGCCTCCTTTGTGCTGCAATTATACCCATACACTATCATACCTAGTTTTACAATTTAAAATTCTTCAGAGGAAATTTAAATTCACTGACCAAAGCTAGTAAGTGAATCTGTTTGTGGAAGAGAGGTGGAGCACAGTGATGGAGCACACATTTAGTATGTGAGGTCCTGGATTTGACCCACAACACCAAATAAATAATAAAAATAAAGTAAGAGTATCTCTTGTTTATGAACCTAAACATCCATGGGGAATCTTGAATATATTCACCTTAATTTATACCAGAGATATTCAAAATGATTAAGGCTTTTAATGTGGGAGAATTTGACTTTATAATTTTTTACAATTTGTAATAGTGAAAATAGAACAAATTATTCTGCAATTTTGGAGCAAGGAAGCCTTTTGCAACCAATTTAAAAGTCCAGAACTCAAACTGGGTATGGTGATATAGATTTGTAATCTCAATTCTTGGGGGACAGAGGCAGGATGACCAACAGTTCAAGGTTATTCTCAACTACGTAGGGAGTTCTAGGCCTAGCCTGGGCTAGAAACCCTATTTCAGATGATCAAACAAAGCAAACAAAGCAAAGAGAAAAGACCTTTGGGGTAAAAGTACAAAATGCAAAGAAGAAACTGAGGCAGGAACTCCTTCCCCAGCTATAGCAAGTAGTAGGTTGCTATGTGAAGGCCTAGGAGTGTATTAGAAAAGCCAACATTTGGGGCTGGACAGATAGCTCAGTGAGTGAAGTGCTCATTGTGCAAGCATAAGACCTAAGTTTGTGTTCCTAGCACACATGTAAAAAGCTGGACATAGCAGGGCACATAGATAACTCCAGTGCTGGAGGTGGGTAGAGATAGACCAATCCCAGGGTCTTGCTGGCCAGCCAAGTTTAGTGAGAAACCTTTTCTCAGAAAGTAAGGTGAACAATGATAGAGGAAGACACTGAAGTCAATTTACATTGGCCTCCACATGTACTGGCTTCCACATGTATACTCATAGATAAGAACATCCACATATAGCACACGCACACACACACACACACGTGCACACACGCACACACACACATGCACACACATTAACATCTGATGAAATGAGGACAGAGTTGATGTGGGAGTGTCATATATCAATCTGTTGATTTCATTGGTTAAGCAATAAAGAAACTCCTTGGCCCTGATAGGTTAAAACATAGGTGGAAGGAGTAAACAGAATAGGATGCTGGAAGTGGAAGTGAGCTCAGACCCGACAGCTCTGCTCTCTGGAGCAGAGACACCATGCTCAGCCTGGGTAGACGCGATAGCTCTGCGCTCTGAGGCAGACACGATGAAGCTCAGACTCTGCTCTGCTCCCAGAGAGACTCGACAGCTCTGCTCTCTGGAGCAGAGACGCCAGGCTCCGCTCTCCCAGGCAGCTCAGACCCAGAATGGACATAGGCTAGAATCTTCCCGGTAAGCGCACCTTGGGGTGATTACACAGATTATTAGAAATGGGCTAAATTAATATGTGAGAATTAGCCTAGAAGAGGCTAGATAGAAATGGGCCAAGTGGTGTTTAAATGAATACAGTTTGTGTGTTGTTATTTCGGGCATTAGCTAGCAGGCGGCTGGGGTGCTGGGGACGCAGCCCCGCCGCCGCTCCTATTTCAACACAGAGTGATGAACAATGAGTTCAGAATGAGTTCTTAAAACTTTGGAAACAGAGAAGTCACCAAAATTAGCAAGGTAGAACATCAAAACTATTCTTCCACTAGAGGTGGCAACAAAGTTGGGGAAAGAGAGAGGGAGAGAGGGAGACTGGGCAAGTATGTATAGAGACAAACTGACCAAGACCAGTCAAAACGAACTTAAGTAAAGCTCAGGAACAAGAAACTGCCAAGCGTTGGGGCAAGGAAGCTGGTATTTCTCTGCCACTCCTATGCTTAACTTGTGTGCGGTTATAAGGTGGGCAATGTGGGCTCAGGCTCAAAGAATTGTGGCCGGGTGGCTGACCTGTCTGGGTTCCCTAAGGGATTAGCAGCCCCAGCCAAAAATTGTTGAAAGCACTTGTCATAGCCAGTTTTATCTATCAACTTGACACCAGAGAAGAGAAAGCCTCAGAATGGCCTGGGCATGTCTGCAGGGATTTTTCTTTTTTGCTAATTTGATGTGGGTGAGCCCAGCCCATGGTGGCTGGTGCCATCTCTAGGCAAGTTGTTTTGGGTTGCTTATGAGAGACAACTGAGTAAGCCAAGGGGAACAAGTCAGTAAGCAAGGTCCCTCCATGGTATCTGCTTCTGTTCCTGTCTGTCATCAGAAATGAGCTATAACCTGTATGCCAAATAAATCCTTTCCTCCCTGTGGAGGTTTGAAGGAAAATAGCTTCCACATGGAGTGGCACTATTAGGAGGTGTGACTTTGTTGGAGTAGATGTGGCTTTATTGGAGAAAGAGTGTCACTGTGTGTGTGTGAGGGATGCTTTGAGATCTCCTGTGCTCAAGCTACACTCAGTGTGGTACACAGTTCACTTCCTGTTTCCTGTGGATCGAGATGTAGAACTCTCAGCTCCTTCTCCAGCACCATGTCTGCCTGCATGCAGCCATGTCCTGTCATGATGATAATGGACTAAACTTCTAAAACTGTAAGCCACCCCAATTAAATGTTTTCCTTTATATGAGGTGCTGTGGTCATGGTGTCTCTTCACCGCAATAGAAATCCTGACTAAGACACTCCCCCAGTTTTATTTTGGTCAGTGCTTATTACAGCAACAATGAGAGTTAACTAGAATACATGCAAAGACAAAAAAAAAATCAGACATTACTTCTTGTGCAAAAGAAGACACATGGGCATAGACAAAAAAGAAAAAGGAAAAAGAAAGCCCCAATAGGAAAAAAAAGATGAAGGAAGGAGGTAGAATGCAAAATGGAGGCTTTAAAGCCTCTCGAGTACACTGAAGGATCTAGGTGTCAGGT